GTTTGAGGCACCTCAAGTGACCGATCTACAAGTTACGCACCTCACCTGACGATCGGCATCTGAGGTGCGTCATCTTCAATCTGATGCGGGAAAGGATCTGAGGCACAACATATATACTTTACAATATATAAGATATAAAATAGGGGGAACCACTCTGGTTATATTGATACTTGCCAAAAATGAATTATATATCCGGATGTCTCTTTAAACAGAGGTATTTTTCATATTAAGGATATAGCTTCAAAATTTTAGAGAAATGCTATGGTCTAGTGTTGGCAATTGGACCAATTGATTATAATAAAATTTTATTAGACTTTATTGGATACATGTCCAATTCCAATTAGTTATATGTCTAATTCCAATAAAATTTTATTAATTATTGCCCAATGCAAACACTGCTATAGTCAGATATCATCGTATTTCAGATAAAGCAATCAAAGCAATAAATAATAAATTTGAACCAGTGCAATTCAAAAAAAAAAAACACCAATCCTCAGTCTACAATTCTAAGAGAATAATGAATGACCAATGAAGAAATTAGTGTATTTCAATTGACAGTAATCACTGATAAAGACATCGACGAATACTAATGGCGTCCCTTAGCGATGTTACTAAAGGTTTCAAAAAAAAAAAGATGGCATTAATAAAAAAATAAAAATAAAAAACTGTAATACATTCGATAAAAAATGATTATTTTATTATGGGTGGATACAAAAATACGCTTGTTAATTTAACCAATGAATTAACAAATTCACAATCACATAATTTAATCTGTATAAAATAGAATAAAATATTCGATAGTTAGATATATTGAAGTTTATAATTAAAGGTTAGAATATAAAGTTTATTATTACTTGAGGTGTGGTCACAGTCTGAATATTTTCTTTCTTTCTCTTTTTACTCCATATCCAAGTGATGTTATTCCATACATATAGTAGTTAGCCAATATATGCCTATGGTCAAATTTGGCAATGCTCAAAGAAACCAAAAAAAGGTTAAATTATACAGTGATTAAATAATAAACTAAAAACAGAAAATACATTACATAGAAAAAGTACCTAAAGAAGTAACCACACAAAGCCAACAAATTGACACGGGAATCATAATTATGCAATTAGAGTCATATGATTATTGAAGTAAGAGTATTAAGGTAAGATGCATAACCTAAAGAAGTAACTATATGCACAAAGCCAACAGAATCGCAGGATATATTTATACGATTAGAATCGCATAATTATTGAAGTAAGAATATTAAGACGAGATGCATAACCATGCAACTAGAATTGAGAGTTGTTTGATTATTGAAAAAAGATAACTACGCAGCTAGTAAAAAAAAAGGCAAATTATGCATTGATTAAATAATAAACTAAAAACAGAAAATACATTACATAGAAAGACTTGTATCATACCTAAAGAAATAACCAGATATACAAAGCCAACGGAATCGACGCGGGAGAGCATAATTATGCGATTAGAGTCATATGATTATTTAAGAATATTAAGGCAAGATGCATAACTATGCGACTAGAAGTAGAAACCAAAAAATATCAAATTATACAACGATTAAATAATAAACTAAAAATAGAAAATCATAGCAAGGATTTGGATCATACCTAAAGAAGTAACTATATGTACAAAGCCAACAGAATCGACACATAACGGCACGACTAGATGCGAGAAAATTAAAAAATTGGCATGGAGGTATCATATAAGTTGTATGAATATCAAAGTAAGGATATTAAGGCGAGATGCATAATCTAAAGAAGTAACCATATACACAAAGCCAACGAAATTGATGTGGGAATATAATTATGTGATTAGAGTCATATGATTATTGAAGAATATTAAGGCAAGATGCATAACTACGTGACTAGAAGTAGGAATCAAAAAAATATCAAATTATGCAACGATTAAATAATAATCTAAAAATAGAAAATCATAGCGAAGACTTGGATCGTACCTAAAGAAGTAACTATATGTATAGAGCCATCGGAATCGACAAATAACTACGCGACTAGAAGTGAGAAAATTAAGAAATTGGCATGGAGGTATTGCTGAGAAAAAAGGTATTTAAACAATGGCTTAAATTTTTTAAAAGAGTAGACTTTTACGCATTTAAAAGATATCTAAAGAATAAATACATCTGATTAGAATTTTATTATATTATTGATATAAACTTTATCTATTCATATAATACACACTTACTATGGATAATACAAGGTATTGTATAGCTTTAAAATTATACAACTAATTTCCATAGTTTTAATAATTAAAAAAGTAAAAGATAAATTATAAATAAAAATTAATTGATTTTTTTTTTTTTACAGTAATCCAAGTTGGCAACACAAAAGTAGAGAAAAGCAGTCACCTAAAAAGTGGCGAGAATGTCTCTCAAATGATCAGCATAGATGACTCAAGAAAAAGGTAGCAGAAACTACCGAGGAACATAAGGTACGTCTTGCACAGGATAGAGAAAGAAAACGCTGTAAAGCAGGAAGAAATAGCAATTTATAGCAAGAGTTGGAGCAACCTGTAATAGCAGTAAACATAGAAGCTGCATATCCAACTGGTAAAAATATCACTACTACTTCGCAAAGTGAAAGTGGTGAGAATGTAGGGGCAAATTTCAATTTGCACCAAGAGTCGGAACGACTTGTAATATTAGTAAATATAGAAGCAGCATATTTAGCTAGTAAGAATCTCACCTCTAGTTCTCAAAGTAAAGATGAAATTAGTGTCGAGCTACAATCGGCCACAACATTAAGCAATTATGAAAAAGAACTTTTGAAAAAATTTTGCACTAAGATGAGTAAGCTTCAATATGTGCTCTGCACCATATGCAATGAGTGTTTTCTGTCCATAGTGCTTTCTGGTGGAATGTGCTATCATTGCAAAGGTGAAAAGACTTTACCAAAAAAGTTTTCTTCTGGAAATAATATGGATCCAGGTAAAATACCTGAAGAGCTTCAAGGTTTAACAGAGGTAGAAGAAATGTTAATAGCTCAGGTTTTCACTGTAATATCGGTATATAAACTCTGTAGTAGGCAATATGGGTATAGAGGAAATGTCATAAATTTTTCTCAAGACATACAAGAATTTACTACCCGGCTACCTCGATATCCATTAACATTAAATATACTAATTGTGCGTCGGCAGTCAGAAAATAATCCTACCACATTCAGAGACTTTATAGTTCATCATAATATTGTTGTAAAGGCACTATATTGGTTAAAAGAAAATAATCGTTATTATGCTGACATTATCATTAACAATAAAGTACTTGAATCTTTGACTCAAGAGGGGTATATAGACAGTCAGCTTCCACAAATTTAAACAAATGAAATGATAGACGATTCAAATAGTAAAAATGAAGAAGAAGAAGAAGTTACACATTCCTTTGTGTCTTTTCTCCTAGCAACTGATAGTAAGGAAGTTGCTATTAATAGTGCTCTTGAACGTTTAGAGTCCGAAAATCCACCAGTAATGTGGCCACATATTGAAAACACACCCATCAACGAATTTCAAACTCTAGGATATATTGTAGGTGCATTTCCAACTTTATACCCAACTGGCTGCGCAGACTTTTATGCAGAGCGTACAAAAGAAGTCAAGCTAGCCGAATACTTTAAGCACCTTCTCCAATTTAGGAATGGAAGATTTAGATGGCACGCTTGTTGACATTATTTTACATTAAACTCCCAGATGTGATGGAGAGCACTACAAGAAGGAAAAGTTTATATTAAGCAAAATTTGAATGAAGATCAACTTACTGTAACTGATATAAGAAATAGGATTAGTAAAGGTGATACACATATGGCCAACAGAATAATGAGATTTGGTGTAGGTTTGCGCGGAACTTGACAATTTTAGACTGCGCGGTGTCGCAAGCTAACAGATATAATCAAACAATTAGGCTCACAAAGACTAGTATTTTTTACCTTTAGTGCGGCAGACCTATATTGGCCTGAACTTCATAACTTTATACAGTCAAGAGAAAATTCTATAGAAGAAGGGGCTAATTCAGCAAATAGCTGGCGGCAAAACATTATAGACAATCCTCAGATTGCTGTTTGGTTTTTTAACAAATGATTTGAAATTTTTTTTAATACTGTACTGAAAAAGTATTGGGATTTAGAAGACTAGTGGTATAGATTTGAGTGGCAATATCGTGGTAGCATACATGTACATGGTATAGGGAAGAAACAGAATGCGCCTTTAATTAAATGAGAACGAATAAAAAATGACAATCAAACAATGAGTAAGGTTATACAATACCTTAACTCAATTGTCACCACGGTAAATCCAGGAGTCAATGCAGCTATACCTGATCGTTATCTATGTCAAAAGTGTCAAAACGAGATAGAGGAGGACTTACAAGATTATATCAATTTAATTAATAAGCTGCAACGGCACACGCGATGTAATGCCAACTCTTGTCTTCATGTTAATCGAGCTGGGCAGCAATTCTGTAGATTCAGCTTTCCTAAAGAGAATAGTGAAGAGACTTATTTGCGTGAAGATAGTCGTAAGGAATTAGAACTTATAACAGCAAGAAATGACCCATATATTAATCCACATAGTCGACTTCAACTACAAGGTTGGCGGGCAAATGTAGATATTAAACCAATCTTAAGTATTCATGTAGCCTTACAATATATTGCAAAATATGCAAGTAAGGCAGAGCCACGTTCTGCTGCATTTTCAGAAATACTAAATCAGATTATATCTGAAAGTAGATCTGATAACTTAGTAGTTCCAATAGTTCAAAGATTATTAATACATAATGTCGCAGAACGTGATATTTCAGCACAGGAAACTTGTCACATACTTCTTGGCATCCCGCTTTATTACTCGAGTCGACTGTTTGTCTCTCTAAATCTAAATAATGAGGCACCAAGATGGCTCCGCGGCACTAGTAGTAATGAAGATAGCAAAGTTATGTCAGTTAGAAATGCAGGACAAACATCAAAATCACCTTTAATGACATATTGGGATAGACCATCAGAATTTGAAAATTTCTCCTTGTATTTACTCTATTTAACACATAAATTAGTCAAAAATCATTGGATAAAGTGCGATAAAGAAAATATTATACGTGTATGGCCATGGCTATCACCCCTACACGATAGCCCTCAATGGGAAGAGTTTTGTCGCATTAAAGTTCTTCTTCATGTTAAGCATCGAGATCTTCAACAGTTAACTGATAATGGTGCTTTAGAATAGTCAAATATATATAATCTTCGCCTTGAAGAGATTAATGCTAATGTAATGGATTTGCTTGGTCCACCAGTTGATATATTATATGAAGTAGAAAACAAAAATGTTGATGAGGAAGAGTTAGATAAATTCAAAAATAAAGAAGGTGAATTTCAGCTCGATTGGATGCGGTTAGCAGGAATGAGTCCAAACGTAGCCATAAATAGTTTTTCAGAATTGGGATCTCGTGATATAGACATTAATTTTGATTGGGTTAATGACGCTCGACGACACTACTCTATTGATGACCTTACAGATGTTGATACATTTATTCTGCGAGTTTCTAGTAATTCTAGAGCAAAGAGGAGAGAAAATACAATTATAGATAATATTGACTATCAAACATTAAATGAAAATCAAAAAAAGTGTTTAAACGAATAGAGACACATTACCAAAGTATACTTTCCGGTTCACAAGTTAAACCATTAAGAATCATTATCATGGGAATAGCAGGGACAGGTAAATCGTATTGGATTAGGGCGATTAGAAGTTTACTTTGTAGAATGGCAGGAGACAAATCTGATATACCTGTACTTGTGCTTGCACCAACAGGAGTTGCCGCGTACAATATTAACGGTGCAACTATTCATTCAACACTTTGCATTTCACTGCAAATTAAAAATGATTTTGAGTTAAATGGCGAGCAGTTGAAGTGACTACAAACAAAATTACAAAATGTAAGATACTTAATTCTTGACGAGAAAAGCATGGTTGGGCGTCAAATGCTTAATTTGATTGATATTCGGTTACAACAAGCTTTTCCTGAACATAAAGATGAGCCCTTTGGTGGCCGATCTATTATTATGTATGGTGATTTCGGTCAGCTTTCGCCAGTACTTGATCTTCTCATTGTCACGGGCAGTATAAATCGTGATCACACAAAACGTGACTTAAAAGACGATCGGGACCTGGATCGATGCACAATCAATGATTGTGCATACAATGACGATACCCCGGATTTTGGCATTCATAATCAACCCAAAATTGGGTGAAACCCGCATATTTGGGCCCCATACAATCGCACGATTCATAAACGGGCGCATCACTGAATCGAGAGATGATAATAAAGTTTCAAAATAGCGGATCTGGGTGGGTTTGTATTAAAAAAAGAAAAGGCAGGTTAGTAAAAATAGAATGGGTAAAAATAGAAAAGTAGAGAAATAATTTACCCAAATTCAGTGAAACTCCAAATCATATGGTTGAATCAATAAAAGAGGTAGGAAAAGATCTAAGAGAAAAAGGAAAAGAATAAAATTAGTTGTAGAAAAATGAAATGTATAAAAGAGAAGAGAAAATTTAATAAAGTACTTATCTTCCATGTGCCTGAAATAATATTAGTAAGGGCAAAGATCAAGTGTTAATAAAATTCTCTCAATAAATAAAAACTTTAAACCTAAATAAAATATATATTTGCCAAATTGTATTTACGCCTCTATTCAAGCCTTGAAATTAACATAGCGCGAGAATTCCGGTCTTCTAGCGACAGACTCGCCGTTTTCGCCCCAACACCATGTATGCAGATAATATTTCAAGAGATCCATTTTCTAATAGCGGTATTATATCATACAGTCAGTTTCGTGAAGTGTATAAACTTGATATTATTTAGTGGCAGTCTGAAGATTCTAGAGAGCAACAAGGTTTCAGAGAAATTCTTCTAAGATTACGTAACGGAGAATCTATACTTGAAGATTGGAAAACACTTACTACACGTATTGAAGATAAACAAGATCGAGCTGAATGTAGTTGGTTTTCAAATGCTATATACATATTAACAAAATAGTCTGAAGTTGACGCAATTAATTTAAATAAACTTGAATCTTTAAAGCATCCTGTTGTCAAAATTTTCGCTTCACATACAGGTGACCAAGAAGCTAAAAAAGCTAACTCAGACGTTGCAAAAGGTCTCGAAGCACAACTTTTATTAGCCAAAGGTGTACAAGTTATATTAACGGCAAATCTATAGACAGAAGCAGGTTTAGTAAATGGATCAATAGAGACTGTTCAAGACATTTTGTATAATGAAAATGGACCACCTTACCTTCCTGTAGCGGTATTTATTACCTTCGATAATTACAATGGTCCTGCTATTAGAACTTTGGAAGGTGTAAATGTTGTTCTAATAGTACCCATTCAACGTACTTGGGAGAATAAATCTGAATTATTGTGTTCACGAACACAGATTCCCATTTGCCTTGTCTGGGCTATTATGGTCCACAAGAGTCAAGGGCTTACTCTTCCGAATGCTGTGATAGATCTTGGAAATAAAGAGTTTGCCGCTGGTCTTTCATTCGTGGCAGTGTCTCGAGTTCGAGCTATAACAGACCTTCTTTTTAAGCTCTTCAGTTTTGAAAGACTTCAACAGATTAAAAACTATAAGAGATTACGGGAGAGAAAAAGCAAAGAAGAGCGATTAATATCTATAATATCTAAAGAATAAATAGAATAGAATAAATAGAGTAGAATAAATAGAATAAAATAAATAGAATAGAATAAATAGAATAGAATAAATAGAATAGAATAAATAGAATAATAAGTAATAATTGTAATAATAAATGAAAAAAAATTAAATAATAAAAAAAATAGAATCATTAAAAAGAGATTATAAATATTACGCAAAAATAAAAATCAATGAGGCATTTCATTA